AGTATAGATATTTCTCACACCTTCTATTTTTATGGCCTCCCAGGATACAGAGGTGAACAAATATAGAATCTTACATGACTTGACCAGTGGACAGCCTGTCCTTAATGACTCCATGGTCAAGTTTATTCTAAGTTTGCAAGTTTATCCCGATTCACAGGTTCACGAACCCTGGAGGTGTGCTTGCCTTGCTGGGCTCAGTGCGTCTGCCCACTGACCTGTAGCCAGATTTGCTCATTTCTAAGGCTGGCCTTGCTCAAAATGCCCGAGTCCATAGTAAATTCACTATCACCTTCACACGTAGTGGAACTCGGGCCAGTTGTCCAACACAGACCACTGTTTCTAAATGCCCACAGGTGGCAGCGGTGTAAAGTTCATAGTTGCACAGAAGTTCATTCCAAAACAAGACGGGAACAGAGATCAAAGGCAAGGACAAGCTCGTTTCCTTCGGGGGCAGTATTACCCATACTCCCGGGATCAGCGGCTCCCTAGTCAGAGCTTTACAACTTCTGTCTCACTTCAAAGAAAAGAAAGGTAGGTAAGTAGACTGAATTTTGTTCTTTTTTTTTTTTTTTTTAATATTTTATTTATTTCTAGCAGAGAGAGACAGCGTGAGCAGGGGAGGGTCAGAGAGAGAGGGAGTCACAGACTGAAACAGGCTCCAGGCTCTGAGCTGGCAGTCAGCACAAAGCCCGACGCGGGGCTCGAACCCACGAACCGCGGGATCATGACCTAAGCGAAAGTCGGACGCTTAACCGACTAAGCCACCCAGGCGCCCCGACTGAATTTTGTTCTTGTTTAAGATTGAGTTGAAGAGACTTAACTGGTATTAGGAAGCTAACGGCGCTTTATTTTTATTTTTCAAGAAAAGCAGGGGCCTTCCATAAATGGAAAGGACTTTTGAGGTAGTTAAATGCCGTTTTCCCACATTTGGGAACGGATAACAGACAGCAAAAGGGATACAGCACTAAGGTCCTGACAGGGGTTCTACAAATAATGTTTTTGGTGATAAGATATATAGAGATTGATCCCAGTCCAATTAGAAATGTTCTCTTTTTTTAGAACAATAGATTATTACAAAGTAACAAATAAAATAATAAGTGATGAGCACTATAGAAATCCAAGTTCACGGAATAAACACCCTCTCTGTAAACACATCCAATAACAATTAAAAGATAAAAACTGTGTACCTGAGAAAGGATAGAAAAAGGACTATAAACACCACTGGCGAAACATGGAATTCTGTGCAAGTGTAGATGAAACTAAGAGGCCATAAATAAAATAAAAACTGCTTGTATTTGATGGTTAAAAAAATACGTGGCTTTATGTTCTCGGAATTACTTTTTGTTTCACATCATATAGTCAATTTCTTTCTCTGTACCTACTTAAAGGGAAGAAAGAGATTTACTGTCCTAAATTTGGTTTCGCCTTGCTTTTTGTCTTATGGGTCCACTTTTTAAATAAGCCCCTTTGTGAGTTTTCATAGTAAGGTAAGCATCTTTGATACCTATTACAAAACATGTGCTCAGGAGGGACTTTTGGGGCCCAAGATAATTTACCCAAAGGCACTTCATTCATTAGGGGTTTTCGACCCGGGGATTTCCTTATTCAGGTTTTTAGACATCTCTTCAATGTTGTTTATTTTGAGTCATCTGGCTTCCCTAGCCTTCTGAGAGATTCCTTCCAAATACTGGCAGGTCTATTCCAAGAGCCGTTTAGAAATAAATTACTTGTCAAGTGTCTCAGAGACTTACATCCAAATGCTGGGTTCCCTCTGCCTCTTACTGTTTGGCCTTTCCCCCTCTAAACTTAGGGTAGGAACTAAAATTTAGCTTTCTAAATTTTTAAACTCTCATTTGCCACGGGGGGTGGTGACTATGTCAGAGATGGATGAGAGGAGGCAGCTGTCATCTCATTAGAGCTAGACTGGGACCCTGATGGGCTCCGGGCAGTAATGTCATTTCTGCCTCTCAATCTGGCCACCATTTACAAATCTGTGTTTTTACATCCTGGTGGTTGTTTTAAATTATAGTTCATAATTTTGTTTCATTCAAAAAATTTTTCAACTCTACTGTGATACAAGTAAAACCCATTCAAAAGCACATTGCATTAAAAAAAAAAATAAAATAGTGGCGCCTGGGTGGCTCAGTGTGTTAAGGGTCTCGGACTCTTGATTTTGGCTCAGGTCATGATCTTGCAGTTGGTGAGATGGAGCCCTGCAGTGGGGTCTGCGCTGACGGGGTGGAGACTACTTGGGATTTCTCTCTTCATCTCTCTCTACCCCTCCCCCGGTCACACTCTTTCTCTCTCAAAATAAATAAATCACTGTTAAAAGATTAAAAATAATAAACTGATAAAATAAAATAAATTAGATTAAAAATACAAAAAGGGGGCGCCTAGGTGGCTCAGTTGCTTGAGTGTCTGACTCTTGATTTTGGCTCAGGTCATGATACCAGGTTGTGGGATGGAGCCTTCATGGGGCTCTGTGCTGACTGCATGGAGCCTGCTTCGTACACACACACACTCTCTCTCTCTCTCTGTCCCTCTCCCCTGCTCACATACACTCTGTCTCTCAAAGAAAAAAATATACAAAATTTAAAAATAAAAAAAACCACACACTACAACTCTTTTCATGTTTCTTAGGTTGGTTTAAGGAGATGATTAAATTATAAATTAGCAATTGTTCTTTACTTTGCCACTAAACATCTTCCATAGGATTCCTTATAAATACACTGGTTTCTTTTCAAATGCTGTCTCCTTTCCCTTGGCCATAATTTTAAGACAACTGCTCTAAGAAACATAGAAAAAACTGTGTATCTAGTACTTGCCTGACCACAGACCTCAACAGTACAAGATAAAACCTACCAGAGCCGTATGCTAAAAAAAAAAAAAAAAAAAAGAAGAAAAAAAAGAAAGAATAGAAAAGAAGAGAAGAAAGGAAGGAAACAAGTGAGCCATATGCCCACAGCTCTTAGACAAATTTCTAACTTAGGTTGGACTCTTTTTCTGTCTCCTGTAGACACTCGGGAATTGTTTGCGGATTTCAAACTTATTTGTTGTAAGCGCCACAGAGACAGCAGGGAGAAGCTAGAGGAGAGAAAACGAACTCCAAGAAGGTATAAAGAGGTAAGGGATGGGCGCATCTGCGGACCACCGGTAGCAACAGACACGAGAAGACTGGAAAAAATTTGAGGAAAAGCGTACATGAGACACAGCTCCCTTCCATCTACTCCCAGCCCACTGCCAAGGTTAAACAGAATCTGCTTCTGGGTTCCACGTAAGGCACATTCCTACTGCCATTTTCTCATTCTCGCGTCAGCCCTACTACATGCAAAGGCACAAAAGCCAGCGTTTGCTGTAAACACGAGGTGACATGATGGTGTAGAAGTTTCTTGAAGAATACAGGTGTGCTACTGGGCAAGTAGTGGGCGCCAGGCAGGATTCTGTGTAATGCAATTTAAGAGCCATGTTAGAGGGGCGACACGGAATACACACCACAAAATGTAGACAGCGATTGCCTCGGTTATGTCAGCTTTTTTGTTCCTTATTCGTCTGCATTTACAAACTTTACTTAATGAACCTAAAATTTCTTAATCCGCTAGGCCATATATTATATGTAACTATAATAAATATTTTACTCACTACAGGTATTATAATAATAGGTATATACAAATACACACAGGTATTTGTGTCTGCATTCTTTCCTCTGGCAAAGAGGCTATAGTATACGACGTAAAAACAAAGCTCTTCTGGGCTTGGATAATTTGCTACACTTACTAGTACCTCTGTCCCAAGAACTGAGAGAGATTTTGCAAAAACAACTAACAATGCGATAAAGCAGTGGTTAAGGATAGGAAGAAGAGAGTGTGGTCTGATTTGTACAAATAGTCCAATTTCGAATCTTAAATTTTCTCTAAGAGAGTTTCTAAAGGAACCCAAATATTGCACATTACTTCCGAAAGGGCCAGTGAGTTGTTGTTGATGGTTTCTCCGCCGCCCCCCAACTTCCCCACCCCCTATCAGAAGATGGTTCCAGACATCACTGCCTTTTCACTTCAACTTTTGGTGTGGTCTGGACACCAGGTCCCGGCAACAAGTTACCTGGACTTTGGAAATAGCTCTAACTCAAGGCCCAGTTCTGCCCCTTACACGCGCTGTGGGATCGCAGGAGCACTATGTGAGCCTTCTGGTCTCCATTTCGCCATCTGTGAAATGGAGCTGAAGGCATCCTCGCAGCCCGCACCCGCCGTGAGACTGGCCTGGGGTGGCATTTATAAGCGGTCCCATCACGGTGCTGAGAGCTTGGGTGAGTCCGGAGAGAACGTGAATCTGTGGATTCCCACGGGCTTCGGAGCTCAAATGATCCAAGTCCCTTCCATTGGTCACCAGGCTGGCATTTCTGAGCTTGGGGACTCTCCCCAAGAGGGGGCTGCTGCCGGGGGTTCGAGGCCGAGTACGCGCCGCCGGGTGCTGGGAGCCGGTACCACCTCCCGCCGGGGGGATGGGGTGTGTGTGTGTGACAGACGCGGCAGGGGGTGCCAGCGGGGCGAGGTTGCAAGAAGAAAAGGGCAAATGGAAAAGAGAGGGGAGAAGACACAAACCTGAGACACTGACTCACACAGTCTTAAGGAGAGGGATTCCCGGAAGGGAAACAAAACCAGTTTCTTTTTCTGCGCCCTGGTAAGAAAGTCACAAACCTCCAGAGGCGCATTCAGCCCCAAGATAACTTTTCCGAGACCGAAACGCTTTGGTCCGCAGCCTCGGGTTTCCCCACCACCCGGGAGCCCGCTTTCTGCCCGAAATCCGGGAGCCGCGGCGGAGCGCGCGGGGTCGGTCCCCGGGCCCGACGCGCGCAGCCACCCGTCCGCGAGCCGGACGCGCAGCGCCCGTCCCCAGCACCTCTCCTCGTCCCGCGTCCGCGGGGCGGGGGCGGCTCCCGGACCCCGCGCGCCCGCAGAACCCCCGCGCCGCCCCCGCCGTGCGCCCCGCAGCCGCGGACTCACCAGACAGCGGACGGCCCAGGGCCCCCTCATGGCTGCGGAGCGCCCAGCCGGCGCGCCCGAGACCCCGCGAGAGCGAGCGCCGCCGCCCCGGGGCCCGGGAGGAGTGACCGCCGCCTGGCCCCTCCCCGGGCCCCGCCAGCTAGGGAAGGCGCTCCCCGCCCCGCCCCGCCCCGACCGCGCTCCCCGCGCCCCGGAAGTCCCCGAGCACCTGCGCGCGCCCCGCCGCGGCTCCCCGAGACCGTCCCGGAGCCGGGGCGCAGGGGGAAGCCCGGCCGGGGAGAGCCCGGGGCAGGGGCGGCGGGAGGGAGGCGCAGGGAGCGGTCAGGCTCGGTTGCACAGACGGGCATTCCCCGCGCGGAGGCGTTTCCGCGAGCGGCCGGAGGGCGGGATTCAGGTAAGGACCCCGAGGGCCGTGTCGCCGTCCTTGTGAGAGCGGGAGCCGGGGCCCATCGCTGGGAAGGTCTCACCAAGACCAGGCGTCTCCTCTCAGCTCGCGGGCGCTGGCGGCGACCCGAGGCTCCCGAGGGCCCCTGACTGCGGTACCAGATGACAGCTGTCCAGCAAAGGGGTCAGATGTTGAGCCATGAGGATTCGCTGTAACTGTTCAAGGAGGGGACAAAGGCAGCAAGTTAGGACACATGGCACAGCCCCAACAGCATCTCACGTTCCCGAGGCCTTCCCCTCCTTTGTTACTCATTAGTTTCTAGCCAGTTCTCTCCTCTGCCCCCCCCCCCCCCCGCCCCCCGCCTCTGTCAGATTCTTCAGGGATTGCATTAACACAGTTCAAAGTCTTTATTGTTTTTGGAGAAATTGATCTGTCCAGTCAGATAGCGTTTTGCAAGAATTTTACAGAAGGGAAGTTTGTATAATATCGTTGGAGTGTGATTCTGAAAGTGGCTCCCAGGTGGGGCTTCGGTGAAGTACTCAGCATTTCTTTCCATCTCTCTTCAGCCACCTCTTCCTGCCCCTTCCCCTTGGCCAGCTTCACGTCTTTGTTGACATTTTCTTCTGGAGGATTATTCAGGTCCCCAAAGCCTGGGGTAGGTCACCCTCCTGGATGCCTTCACTCACTTGTGGTTTGCCTTGCACCGAAGGCTCTGACGTGTATAGGTGTTGACTTGTTTCTGCCTCCCCTTCTAGAAGGTTGTCAGTGAGCCGGGGTGAAGACTGGCCGGCCAGCCCCCTTCAAGGGCCACTGCTCCTGCTGAACAGACACAAAAGAAGTGAATGGGCATGGGGGGGGGGGGGGAATGGGGACTCTGTGTATTATCTTGGCAACTTTTCTATACATCTAAAACCATTCATTTAAAAAAGTTCATTGAAATAAAAAAGAATACCGTAAGAAGAAGGAAGGAGTGAGGCAAGAAGAAGGAGAGAGAGAGAGAGAGCCGGAGGTGAGTTGACACCACCAGCGTCTCCTGAGTGTGGCTGACGAGCTGGCAACTTTCACAAATGGTTCCTACTGACCTTACATTTACCATTTTAGTCCGGTGAGGTGGGTGATGGGTAAGCTAACTTCACACTTAAAGAACTGTAGCCAAAAAGGGTTAGGCAACATTGGCAGCGCTGGTTAGTTGATCAATAGCAGAGCCGGGAATCAGCTTAGGTATTTTTGCTCGTGGGCCCTGCTCTTGCTGTCCCCCACTCCCCCAGTGACCCTCAGGTGCAGTGAGACAGTAATGGGTGCTTTGTGGGGAGACATATGTTTTGTGAGGGGCCAAACAATTTTAGAATATTCTAGATTTAGAAAGTGTAAACGGGTCTTTCAATCCAAGCCTTCTCATGCTAATATGTACCTCTACTAGGGAATATATATACACTGTTGCCTACACTTGTTTGTCTTCTTTATGGGATCCGTTCAAGAACGCCTATTAAATGAACAATTGAATGAACACCTCAGAATGCTGGTGTTCTGGGGAAAACAGTTTGGACCTTTCTACAAGTTATTTTTATTTTTAACAACACATTCCTAAGAGCCTCCACGCCTTCAAGGGCAAACACAATTTTAATAATAGAAATTCAAGCACTCCACCAGCTGGGGGAGGTATTTTGGTTAACCGTCTGGCTTTGTTCAAACTATACCATATACATAAAGCTTATCTCCTCTGAAGGTAGCCTTGCCTCTCGGTACCTTACTCGGAATAACGTTTCAGCGCATATCGGACCATGTAAAGAGGCAGGGGAGAAGAAAACCTTCAATACCTTTTCGACCAAAACTATTTTTATTCTTTCTCCCCATAGGACATGATGTTTTAAAAACTGTTGTCAACCAAATTGCTCTTACTAAATAGCAATAAAGTGATGTTAATAATTCCCAACTGTAGTGGGCATTCACGATTCTTTATCCTACATGTTTTCCTCTTCCTGGTAACAGCACTTCCTAAGTGCCTTTCGAAAAAATGCCCTTCTTTTGCTTTTCAACTCTTCGGTGTGGGTGACTTTATTAGTCGGCCTAGTTCTCAAGCAAAACAAAACCAATAGGAGATCATCTATCTATCTATAAAGCGAGGATGTACTTTAAGGAATTGGTTCATGTGATTCTAAAGCCTGGAAAATCCAAATTTGCAAGGTGGCCTGGCAAGCTGGAGACCCAGGAAGGAAGTGCAGTTTGAAGGGGAAGGCGGTCTGCTGGCAGAATTCCCAGTCTCTGAAGTCAGTGCTTTCTTAAGATCTTCAACTGATTGGATGAGGCCCACCCATAATATGGCGAGCACAGCATTACCCAAAGTCTACTGACTTAAATGTTGATCCCATCTAAAAATACCTTCATAGAGACATCTAGAATAGTGTCAAATAGTTGCGTACTGTGGCCTGGCCAGGTTGATACATAACCATCACAGTGACATTGATACCAATCCTGGGGCCTATATGTAGTAGGAGGAAGGAGGGGATGGGCGGAGAGCTCCATTTGGTTAAGGCAACCAGCCCATCACATTCTGCGGGCATAAATCTTGTGACCTTTGCTGGAAACAGTAGGACACAAATACTTTCTCTTCTGCACTGGGTTTGAAGTGGGAGTATGTGAAATACAGAATGACATGGCTCTTAAGAGAACTTGTGGGCCTGCCAGGGCTGAAGGCAGAGTCAGCTCATGCTGAGCAGAAGCCACCCAGAGAGGCAGAGCCTGGGAGTGTCACTGAATCCGGGGTTGATTTGGTCCTGATACCGAGCCTTGCTCTACCCATTTACCCAACTCAGTACAGTCTCAATGTTTGCTTAAGCCAGATTCTTGCAGCTAAAAGAATCCTAAATGATATATCATGAGAGCTTATGATCAGCATAAGAAGTCCTCTGGTACCAGAATTAGTTGTTACAGATTAACTGTTACATTTTCAGCTACAAGTAAGGATATTTGCCTGAAGGAGCCTGTAGAGATGGATGGCTCAGGATCTAGACTTTACATACGACGGAGACATTTTCTACCACTAGAGGGCGCCAAATACCACATCAGGCAAGTGATGAAATTGAATGTAGTTTCTACCAATTAATGGAGGGTGGGGAGGTGGAGGGATGGGGGTTGGGATAGAAGGGGTTGGGGAGATGACGGATGGGGGTGGAGAGGTGGAAATATATTTTGGTTCTTGGGAGAGGGAAGAGAGTGGAGGGAGAGCTTTGATTTAGATAGGCAACCTGGGGCCTCATCACCTAGGCATTTTCATCTCCCTGAGAACATACTGTGTCTTACAGGGTGAAAGAAAAGACGTATGCAGAGAACCCAGGCACCCCATGAATACTAGTTAATACTTTTGCATTGCTCTTTGTGAATGTGGTGCCTTCTGGAGACAGGTTGTTAATTTGGGGTCAAAGTTCAGATGGGAAGCAAGACAACTTAAATGGCTTACAGCTCATTTCCTACACTACTTCCTGCATGAATGTGGTCATGTACCAAAAGGTGCGGCCCAAGGAAATGCGCTTGGAGCCCCGCGGCCCCGGAGCGCATTATTCAATCTCCCAAGTTCTCCCAAGGTGAAAAGTGGTTTGCTCTCCTGCCTCCTGGGCAAGAACCTGAAGACAGTGGACTAAGGAACCTTTAGAGTGTACTAGCCAGATTGCAGAGAACATGTGGCCAACCAGCGATGGAAGAAACAGCCCCTCCATAGGCTTGGGTTCCTGATGCCCTTGAGCAGTCGGTCCTCCCCTGCTGCGTTGGCACGTGGTGCACCCTGCAAGCATTCATGAGAAGTGGGATGACCTCCTGGTGTCCAGAACTGGCCCATGGAAAAATAGAGACTGCTTCCCAAGAGGTGCCCATTGGGGGCGGGGTGGGGGCGATGGAGGGTGGGGGGTGGGAGATGAAGGGTAGAGGGATGGGAGTGGGGAGGTAGGGGGATGGGGAGTGGACGTAGAGGAGGTGGGGGCAGAGGGGGTGAGGGATGGGGGTAGAGGAATGGGAGTGGGGAGGTAGGGGGTGGGGGGATGGGGAGTGGAGGTAGAAGAGGTGGGGGCAGAGGGGGTGAGGGATGGGGGTAGAGGGATGGGAGTGGGGAGGTAGGGGGTGNGGATGGGGGTAGAGGGATGGGAGTGGGGAGGTAGGGGGTGGGGAGGTGGGGGATGGGGAGGTGGGATAGGGAGTGGAGGTAGAGGGGGTGGGGGATGGGAGTGGGGAGGTAGCGGGTGGGGAGGTGGGGGTAGAGGGGGTGGGGCAGTGGGGGATGGGTGTGGTAGTAAATGGTGGTCGGGAGGTGAGGGTAGGGAGGAGGAGATCTAAGGCTTAGATTAAGACAACGCTTCTCAAGCCTCAGTCCCCATTTGTCATTGGTGTGGCTCACTTATACTTTAACTAATATATTTTTTAAACCAATTTACTTGCTTCCGGAAGTGATTTTATTTTTCAAACAAAATAATTGTATTGTCATATAGCCATAAATGGAAACTCAGCATTCCTTACCAAACATAGAGGGCATCCATAAAAATAAATATACAAGTATTGAAGCAAAACATTTGCCTGCATACCACTACAGATTGTTTCCCTACTCGCCTGGGGAAAGGCCACCACGCTTCCGGAGAAGCTGATTTAGGGCACAGACGTGACTTCTGTCTGCTTTGGCCTGCCTGCCCTCTGGTGACGGCAGGAGAGAGACGGTGGGTCTGGGTGCCA